TATACACACGTGCCATAATAGTTGGATCATATAATGTCGCAAACGATTCATACATATATATATATATATTCCAAATATGTCGCGCTCATATGCAAAGAAATAATGCAAGATAAATTGATTTATTGAATGATAAACCGAATTAACCTTAGGCGTTGATACTAATTGATGGATTCATCGAAAAATGTCAGTTATTGTTATGTAATCGAATCCTAAAAAATGAATCATAAGAGTAGTGGATCTAAAGCTTAGGATCAAGATCTTATGGTTTTGTTTAAGCCGACTTTTAGACGACTTAGAAACCTAGTGAGCCGGGCGAACGGTTTGACTTCTCGTCTCATAAACTCACGTCGGTGCGCCTCACCTTGTGCCCATGACCTTAACATCTTTTGTTGAATTCATTCACCTCAGTTGGGTGTCGTGTAGGCGACGATCTTCTGAATATGTGTGTTGACTCTCTTCTCTTTTGCTCTCACTCGCTCACGCCAACTCCATATTTATTCGAGTGTGCATGTGAATTATGTGATCTTTAGCAAGAGAATGTGACTCTCACATGGTTTATTATAGGGTACTAAAAGGACTTTAAGGAGGTTAGGAATAAGTCTCTCAATGGCCAAGAACTACTTAGACTATGGTCCACCCTATTTCTTCGGTCATTAATAATAAATCAGTCACTAAAGATTAATTAGTGACTAACTTTTTCTAACTCCAATTACATGGGTTTCACTATTCTCGATTATCTCCCTGTATTGTAGATATGACGTTAGTTGGTTTATTTAATTATTGATGATTTAATAAAGTAATATCTTAGTTTTTCGAGATTAGTACCGTCCAGTCATTATTATTATGGCGAAACTTAATGCTCATGAAGGACTTGACATAATAATTCTTTTGAGCTCATCTCGGGAGTGTCATCAACCTTACTCACCAGGACACAGTGACCAGGTATAATCGACATCACACCATGATTAATAATAATTCTCAATTCACTGAGTTAATGAAATACGTCTCATACACTTTGATGAATCAAAGAACCTTACCACACGTGTCATCATTATTAAACGACTTAAAAGTACGAGCAATATCACGATTTTTTTTAGTAGTTAGTATAAAATAAACTTCTTCTCCAGAGTCCAATTCAATACACGTAAAATGAACTAGTATAGTTCATTAGTTAAAATAAACTAACTGAAATCATATTGTACCCATACCGATAGATTTACCCATTGCTATTCGGTTATGAACCTTATTTATATCACACAATTTTCTTGTGGGACGACGTCATATTTTATTATCTTTAATGTATACAACAAGATAAAACACAAATTCATACATAAAATAAATTATACAACATTTGACTAAACATACGAAAATAATTACAAACGAAGCAATGTTTCGTATACCAACCGTCAAACATGATATATAGAAAAATATTTTTAATTTTCATTTTTAAAGACAGCTTGGAGTATGAATATTTTCAGTATGCATTGGAATATAAATAGCATATGTCGTCAAACTTGTTTTTTGAAATTAAGGGTTCATGAAATATTCTGTTTTCACAAATTTTTTGACTAGAGACTAGAGTTGAAAAATATTTTTTGAAATTAAGAGTGTTGGATATAAGATTTCTTTTTAGAAAAAAATTGTCCGGTCTTGATAAGTAGTAATAATTATCGGCTAAATTGTTGTTTTTTTGTTGAAAAATATAATATTGATTATTATTTATATTAAATTTTGTTAGTGGAATTTTGTAAAAAAAAAATGTGAGGTAATATTTTGGAAGATTTTTGTTTTTTCAAGTTTAAATAGTTAATGTATATAAATACTCTAAGGTATTAAATGTAGCACGCCAAGATTTGTTTCAATCACTATATTTGACTAAGGACCTAAGGTATACTTTAACCATGAAATTATAATACTCTACATAAGCGTGTGATGATTGCCTTAGCAAGACAATTTGAATACTACTTTAGTGTTAAAATTTTATAAATTATATATACAGGGTTGAGTTCAAGTGACAATGGTGCTTAATGAAAGAAATAAGAATAAATCGTAGGCATTTGATCGAATGATCTAATGGCTACAAAAAAAAGCTAAAATTATACATTCATTAAGATAATGTGATAATTTTTTGGCAAAATTTCAAAATTGGTCCTATAACTTTGTCACTGTCCAAAAAACCACCCCTATATTGACCACTTTCAATTTAGGTCCTATAATTTGTCAATTTCATCAATTTTGGTCCTTTTTATCCGGACCCTGGATTAAAAAGTGACGTGGCATGACGTGTCATTTTTTTAAGGTTATATGGCGTGATTATGATCTACGTGGCACGTCAATTTTGGTCCTATAATTTGTCGATTTCATCAATTTTGGTCTTTTTTTCATGCCACGTCACTTTTTAATCCAGGGTACGGATAAAAAAGGACCAAAATTGATGAAATCGACAAATTATAGGATCTAAATTGAAAGTGGTCAATATAAAGGTGGTTTTTTGGACAATGACCAAATTATATGACCAATTTTAAATTTTTGCCCTCAAACATTGGGTCCATGCCACCACGCACCCACTCATTTAGTCCTAGATCCATCCTTGTATGTCCTATTATTAATCGATATAATAAATATCTTTTTGTGAGACAACCTAAGTATTAGGCGAGTGGCCCGTTATACTATTAAAATCAAAATAAATACTTACACTATCAAATAACATACTTCTTTTTATAATATTTTTTCAAAATACAACATTTTAATGCAAGTATATAACCATTGTTAAAAAGAGTATGTTAGGCTAATGATAAACTCGGCTTAATACTAGACCAATTTTTTGTAATACAATGGTTGTGATATTTAATGACGATATTTCCAAAAAATTGTTAACAATAATTATAAAATAGTTATTGCTAATTTTCCTAAACTAAAAAAATT